TTACAAAATGTATTTTCTATTTTGCGCAAAACAACACATCGAGACGATTCTGTAATTTAAATATAAATTGATTTACTTATATATGTTCGATCAAAAAGTCTTTTTTTTTCGCTCTCTAGATTGCAAAGTTATCTTAGGTATTTATCAAATCAAATTTATTCATTTATGCAATTTACATTTTTTTTAACAATATTTAAAACCCACCTAAACAAAATTGGTGTATGGAATTTTTAATATATTTGTTTTTTTATTTTAAAAAGTTTTTAATTGAAGTTTTAAATTGCTTAAATTGTATCTAAAATACCATAGAAACAAAAATAAAGAATGTATAAATACTGTGATGATTGTTTATTAATAATTTATTTAAACACTTATTTATTTTATAACACTATTATTCTAATTTTTACAGAATTTCATACTGAATCTAAAATTTAAAAAATATATAGGGTGTTCAATTTAAAATAGAAAAGTTTTTTATGTTTAAAAAATTTCATTTTTAAAAATAATTTGCAAACACCCCGTACAACAAATAATGAATAACTAAATATTCTTAAGAAGTACATCCCATCTACTACCTCTGGTTAAAATTTTAAGTATCTGATAGATATAGTACCTGAGATAGACGACTTTAAGAAAATGTCTACCGGCGACTAAAAATGTAGAAAAAAATTGAATAACGCCAAATCCGCTATAACTAGAATAGGCAAATGGGGTATCGTTGTTTACAGAATTTCATGCTGAATCTAAAATTAAAAAATATGGGGTATTCCCTTTAAAATAATGAAGTTAGTGGTCACTTCCGGTATAACCAGAAGTTGCACAGAGTTCATTTTATTTTATTTCAAAATGCATTTTCGATTATGTATACTCAGAAAATGGCGAAAATACAAATTAATTTATTCTCCATAAAGTTGTAATGCCCGCCTTAGGTTGGAGCCAAAAAAATGACATAAAATTTTGCGTGTACATTTTTTAAAAAGAGGAACTGGCATATGCTTAGTGAAAACAGTGTATGTTAAAGCATAGGAAGTTTTTCAGTCAGCAATTGCCCATAAAGCAGTTTGGTAAGTAGAGAAGACCGAGGTTAGTTGTTACAATTTAACTTTAAATGTATACCATTCGTAAAGAAGAAAATATATTGATGTAATTTTTATAGCAATATATTTTTTAGAGTTTTATATTTTATTCAAACTGAAATAAAAATCTTGTAATAAAACACAAAAATAAATACTTATTTTATTTTGAAGTAGTGCAAGATGTAACAACTTGTCCCATTTTGGGGCTAGTTGTTGCTAAGTTGGGGTAAGTTGTTATATACAATTTTAGAATTAATAAATAAAAAAACTTCCGTCTAAATCACCATCTGAATTGCAAATAATACAGATAAAAACTGATTACTATCCGTACAATCTATATGGGCCCAGTTTCTACATCTTGTACATTGAACCCATTTTTCTTATGGGCGAGAATTGTGGAATGATTCTCCACAAAATAAGCAATAAGTGTTCTTTTCAGTCACTTGTTTTTTTTTGTTTGTCCAGTCGTTTAATTTTTGAAAAAATATTTTTTTTTTCTTCTCTCTTCTTAATTTTGCTCAATCTTTTCTATTCTTCTAGTTCGAATTCCTTTTTATTTGGAGTTGCTTTTATTTTCTTTCGTCCTCCTTTTCGTATATTTTTGCGTTCTGCAGCTTTTTGATTGTCCATAATCATAAAAACTGGGTTAGTTTTTGGACTTTAATATAAGTCTTCCCCGATCATCCAACCTGATGAGTTTGACGATCCTCTACAACTAGTAGGACTCTTCTATTAGATAATCGGCTAATTGAGATTCCATGTTATCAGAAAATATTTGTCTGGATTTTTTATAACCGATAGTTGTTCTTTCTTCGGGACCCAGAACAATGAATAGGTAAATAATAAGTATAAATAAAAAATTTAATTTATTTTCTTTTACCTAATGTTTGAACTTTCTTACAGTATTTCTGCAATGTCATAAAATTAATTGAAAAATCAGAAGCAACATTACGATTTTCCAAGACTTCTTCTGCTGCTCTATCATACACATCTTGTGGAGTAATTCCTCGTTGTGTTTTCCTTTTATAGTTTCTCATACTTATTCTAAAATTAAAAACAATGTAATGGTATTAATATTAATCACTATACAACATGGCAGGTTGTTACATCTTAACAACCTGCCCCATGTGCATTGTATCAAACTGCCCCAACTTTTTTTATAAATTAATTTAACTATGAAAACTATATAACTAAATTTTAAAAAAAGTAAGCGTACCCTCTGTTGATTACAATTGCCAATTTCTTTTAAAAGTGGCAACTTAAATGGAGAATATATGAAACTTACTTGTGATTAAAATTTTACAACAGTACGCCAAAATCTTTTAGTTTGCTCTCACGACGGCGATACGTATCGCATCACAGGCAGACAACGACTGAAGTTAAACGGTTCTCCTACAGAATATACTAATATACACCGAAAGATGCACAGTAGGGCTCGTCGAGTACGAATAAAATGGAATGTAACAACCTGCCCCTGTAACAAATAGCCCTGGTCTCCCCTATATAGTTATTTAATATTGAGAATATCTAATTCTTTATATTACACAGATTTGTAGAATATCTAAGGTCCTTTCTGAACAATATTTTTAACAACGTATTCTGTTTGAGACCAGCTCATCGAGAGCGTTATCTAGAAACCCACCCCATAATAGAATGTTATATTTTAGCAGCGACCATATATATGCAGCGACTTAGCCAAGGCATTAAAATAAATATTTTATTTTTGTATCATTACACACTGAAAAACAGACTCTTTATTGCAGTTATGATTATAAAGCTATAAAATTTTTTGATTTGGTTGATTAGCATTAGTAAGTAAAAGTAAAATAAAATTTATTTTGGAGACATAGAGACTCTGAAGACTATCATCAAGCCACATTTTTACCACAGTTTATAGCTAAAGAATCAGTTCGCTCACTTTGCGTCGGCACTTTTGATCTCAATGTTCCAGTTTATACACTGCGCAACTCGGATTTGTATCCCTGACGCATACATAATCAAATCATAACCAATACAATATAGGCAACCGCCTATATTCAAACAGCAGTCTTCTGCGCATCCTGAATTTGTATCCCTGGAGTGGATATTATTTTGGAACATTCAACTGGTCCAAGTGAGCTAACTGATTCTTTAACAATAAACTGTGTTTTTACCTTACTCAAACCATCCTCAGCTGTTCAAAATACTTTTTCCAGTTCTCCTCTTTAAAGAGAATGGCAGTATCTATCATCTGCATAAGCAATCGTTTTTCCTATAACTTTAATATTAAAAATGCTGTTAATGTACATTAAAGTACTGTTTTTTTGAGGCACGCTCCTAGAAACGCTAATTGAGTGGGTCACTAAGTAGACTGCCAAATCTAACAAACTGAAAATGTTCAACGTTAATTCTCTTATGCTTATTCTTGCTTATCTTTCTAATAACAATCTGTGATCAACAGTGTCAAATGTCTTGGATGAGTCTAAGAATATCGCTAGGCATTTTTTATTGTTGTCAATATAATTAATAATATTTTGTACACAGTCTAGAAGCGCATCCTGACAGCAAAGATTTTTCCTAAAACCATGCTGACTTGTTATTTTGCTTTTGCTTGAAAAGTTTTTTAATATTAGTATTTATAACTGATATAGGCCTGTAGTTAGTGACTACAGTTCTTTTTTCCCTGAATTATGTACGGGTATTATTACAGATTCTTTGATTGATATTAGTATTTTGTCAATTAATAATTAGTTAAAAATATGTGCCAAAGGGTTTATTAAGATGTATATATGTATATTTTTAATTGTAGCTACCGACAATCCATCCAGGCCACTTGCCGATTTATTTTTAAATAGTGATATATTATTTATTAATTCGTTGTTTGTAATGGGATAAAAAATAGTATTAAGAATAAAAGTATGTGTTATAATTTTAATAGAAGCAGTTCTATTAGGATTGTCAATTTTTTCTATTATTTTATTAATTATTTTTGCAAACAAAAAAGAATTAAAAACATTTGCTTTAGTTTTATTACAATTATCTTTTTCTCTCTATTTATTTATGATATTCTAACTTTCTTTTTTGTTTCCGTTTTAGATACATTTTTTACTGTCCCAATTTTTTTTTTATTCTAATTTTAGATTGGTGGTAATTATTTTTTGCTTTTTTAATTAATTTGGTAAAAAAATTCGTTACCTTCTGTATTCTTGCAAAAGTTTTTTACTATTTTTATTTTTGAGATATTGATTTTTTAAGTAATATAGTCTTTATAACTTAAATTTAATTATGACCGAAGTAATCTACGTTTATGTTAGCTACATTTCATTAGTTAAAACGCCTTTACGTCTTTACAACAGACTGTTGTTATTTGTTATATTATCTACTAATTGACAATTTTTTGAAGAAATAAATATTTTAAATATTTTAAATTAATTAGGTAGTAAGTGATATTTATACCAAAAAATGGAAAACAAATCGATGAAGTCAACATTTATTTGATTTTTTTTTTTGATAAAAATGGAAGAAATATATTTTTTATTTTGCGCAAAACAGCTCATCGAGTTAAAAGATAAAGATTGCAAATTTATCTTATTAGGTATTTCGACAGAAGGAGTCACAATAGGTAGATCTTTTAGGTCACAGTGTATTAACACCCCATACATGACATACTCGTGTTAGGTATATATGTTCGCTGTTCGCAACTTTACAATAGTTAAAACGTCTTTCCTATAGGCTGTTGAATATTATTTACTAATAGATAATTTTTTTAGAACCTATTTAAAATAATTTAAATTATCTAGACAGTAATATTATACAAAAAGAAAAAGAAAACAAATCTATGAAGTCAACATTTATGATTTTTTTTTTTTTAATACCAATTCATTAACCTATTATATGCGATCAAAAAATATTTTCAAAAATAATTTTTAATGTTTACCTACTTACTTTGTCAATTGAAGACATTTTAAAACAATTATATTTTAAAAACAAGGAAATTTATGTTCAGATGATTAACTATTCAAATAGAAAACGATTTTGAGAGCGTAACTGTCAGTATTTAGTTGTCCCCGACACTACCGCACGCTACAGACTTCCAAATCGACTAACCTAACCTAGCGCGAACGCGCTATCGCGGTCATGTTAGTCGCTTTATATTTTTATTACGAACCGACCACGTGCGAGTAATGCGTTCTTGTCTCTTAAATATTCCAATTATCTCAAACCAAATTAAAAGTTAGTATGTACGTTGAATATAAAATGTAGTTTATTATTCACTAGCAGCACTGCAATTATTTTAGGACAATGTTGTGATAATATTTTTAAAAAACTCATATTTAATCTCCTTAATTGGATTTTCGAAAAATGACACCTTTAAATAGTAAATGTCTATGTATTTAGCCGATTTTGTCGTTTTTTTTTTATAGTTTCTCGCAGAAGATAATTTTAATAGTTTGGGGTTGGCGAGTCCTGACCATGCCCTGCCCGTAACCGTACCGACACGTTAACAAAATCTTATCAATATCAACAAAATTTTAAATTTATTTGTATTGTATTTAATAAAGTTGGAACCATATGGATTTTTTTTTAATAATACGATTGGTAAAATACGTCGTAGGGCAATCGCCTCTGCTTTTGAAAGGGTACTTTCATTCTTATGGAATACTTAGCAATATTGGGATCTGAAGATAAGCGATACGCCCTCTACTGTGAACTAATGAACTAATTATTGTGGTCATTTGACATTTGAAGGTCTGTTTTCTGTCAAGTTTTGTTTATTGTTTATCAGGTCATGTCAATAAATGTTATTTTAAAATTTAACAAGTATTTTGTCTAATATCTTATTTAATAATAAGCTAATGCTTTAAATTTTTATCATATATATTAAAATATTATATTATTTGGAATATATGTGGAATATCAGTGGAAAACACACTTGTTGTGTGCCTCAAGGTAGTTCTAAAAAATTAGCGGACCCTTCTCTTACATTTCATCTGCTTTCTGAAGTTGGTTAATGTAAAGTAATTTTTATAAAATGCAAGTGAAAATTTTGAACTTGTCGATGCAAGAAATGCATGGTTACAAAAGTTACAAATTGTATCAAAGTATTTGAAAGTTTGTTCCCATGCACGGCATTTTAAAGAAGACGATTATTTCCCTATAGGTAATATAGATTTATTTTTCGATTGTGTTGCAGATGCCTCATCCCAACTGAAAATAAATATAAAAAAAGATCGCTGTGCCTTTCTGCCAGTTTTTTTAGTAAATGTGATTCTGTTCGATAAACTTCAAAAATCAAATATTGAGAGAACAGAAAGAAGAATAAAGGAAGAAGATCCAAACTAAATAAAGTTCAATCAGTGTTAAATGTAATAGTGAGAATAAACGGGTCATAATTGAGAGTAATTTGTTTCAAGATAGCCTAGCTACTAACACCAAACAAGACATAGAGGTTGCAAAATACTTTTTTTCAAATGTATTGACATTAGTGTACAACTGCATACCCCAAAAATTAAAACAATTTCAGATCTTTCAAAATCTGACAAAGAGTTATGTTCATTTACTGGCATTAACAACTTTAACACACAGTAACCTACCGCACCCAGGTACCTTCATAATTTATGAATTTTATTTTAATAAAGAAAATATTGCATGTTTATTAAATTTAAAGTCCTTCGTTTAACAAAAAATCTCCCAGATAATTAAATCTTATTTAAGACAAATCTTATTTACGACAAATCTTATTTACGACAAATCTTATTTACGACAAATCTTATTTACGACAAATCTTATTTATGACACCTATTAATAATATCTACAACCCTGTCCGTAAGAGATCCAATTTTCTTGCACGTATCTGGGAACCCAACCCGAAACCACCGTACATCCTAAATTTTCTCATGAAATAATAATCACTGACACACTTAACGCACTTATGTTAAATCAGTTTTGAATAGGAACATTGTTTTCGACACACAAACTTTTCAGTGCAAGTAATAAATCGACCACTCTTTTCTATCCATCCAACTTCGTTCTTACCAGAGTTACGACAAGTTAACGTCACGAAAATTTTTAAACCTACTATAAAGACCCGATCCCGAGGGACTCGCGGATCATTAAGAAAAATTAATTGAGAAAAATTAATTAAGAAATTAAACTCAGTTCAGTTGATTTCAAACCACAGTCATTCATTATTTTTAAATCTAGTACCTATACTTTAAGTTCACTATTCAGTACCTTTCCTAAATCAATGCTCTTCCTAACCGACGTCTATCCTACAATAACCCCTATCTCCTAAACACTGTCACGTCTCGCACCACCTAAGTATTGCCTACCTTATATTTATCCCGACGGTCAACGTCCCAACGCCGAACGTCCCAACGCCGAACGTCCCGACGCCCGAAGTTCCGACGCCCTAATTCCCTACCTTTCTATATCCCCAACGCTGTCACGTTCCGCACCACCTAACAGGTTCCTACCTTATATCCGCCCTGACGACCTATCTCTCGAATGTTGTCACGTCTCGACGCTCAACGTCCCGACATCATCTCTTTTATCCGACGCTCTACGACCCGATGCCCTATATCCCATTCGACTCTTTACGTCCCTACTTTCCTACCTCTATACGTTACCATGCTCTTATACGACGCTCTGCGTCCCGACGTCATCTCTACGCCCCGCCGCTCTACCATTCGATGCTTAACGTTCCGGTTCTCTACGTCTCAATGTCCCTTCAATATTTTCTAATCAGCAACACTTCCACGTATCAACAACAATATAAAAACGTCAGAAAGAGATGGTGAGTCAATAATATAAAAGAGATTTATTATTGTATTATTCATTATTATAAAAATGTATTGTTTATTAACGTCATATTTGGGCCGTTAGATAGACACGTACTAGTATGGATTTGCCGTTTTATTATACCTACCAGCCTAAAACTATTTAAGAATTTGGTCTACCGAAGTGCCAATGCACCCTTGCTAATAGCTATTAAATATCAGCTGATTGGGGCAAATGACACTTCGGACGGCTAGACTCACATCTTACACAAATATGCCTGATGTCACTGTAGGGTTGGACTATCTTAAATAATTATCTCTCAATCTTCGTAGGTAGATCTGAACATAAGGGGTAGTTCGCTGGTATTGATCCAGCTCTATTCTAGTAGGACTACACTATATAACCCCCTAGGTGAGGCTGAAACATAAGGGATATCCGTCGGTTATTGCAACGACTGTATCTCAGTAAGCGCACCTACATAAAAAAGAAACTAGGGCATAAAGAATATAGTGTAATTCTGAGGACGTCTGCTGTACATCCTCAAGAATTCTTCAAGAGTATATATTTAATGGCAAGTGGCCTGTGGCCTGTTTATTTGGGCGGGACACATGTGAGGTCTCGGTGAGAAATATAATTTCTCATTCCCCAATTTAAGTAATATTTTTTTTATTTTAATTAAGTTAAATATTATTTGAGTTTTATTTCATTCACAAATTTGTACCAAACTTTGCATCAAATTCTGGTTTATCTTAATATTAACATTATCAACGTGGGTATATAAATTATCATTTAATTAACTAGACGATCACTACTACTAGAGGAAAATGGCCAAGTACAGTAAGTATGAATTACTTTGAATTTCACAAAGGGGAGGGAGGTCGTTATAAAAATGCGGGCTTTTAAATAATTAGGAAGCGACCGGGGGACAGGCGGTTACAGTACTGTACTAGAAAATACAGAGAAATCAGCTGAAGTACTTTGAAAGATGGCCTATTGGGTATTGTACCTCAATATTATGTAAACATTGGTATATTTTGTTAACAGGAAAATTAAACAAATATTTTATTTTTATGTTTATAGCTTATAAGTAATAACCTTTTTTACCAACAGATTCAACTATTCAACAGATTTAACTATATTACAGATTTTTTAAAAATACATTATCAATGTATAATCATTCATTACAAAATGTAACTGTACACAATGACTAGTAAACTTAAGAATAATCAAAATAATTATTAAGAAGAGTATTCTCTTAAGTACAAAATCAATCATAAATTTCAAGCTGTACATTTTCATTTAATGTATTAAAGAAGAGATTACTTAAATAACTTATGTTATTAATACATTAATAATAATTTATTCACACAATATTAAAACATTACAAACATCAGTTTGGTAAAAAGGTGCGAATAAGAATACTTGTGAGTGTCATACAACACTTGTTTGTAAGAGAATATGTAACATGGGTTAAATAATATATTATAAAAGTATAAAGACTAAAAACTAGTACAAACTTCAAACTATGGCTAAGTAAATTTTATAACAAAACTAAAAAACAAAAAAAATAGTACTTGTACATTGTGTTAATAGATGATTTTAAAAGGACAATTATTCTGTAACTGTTTTTATAAAACATCTTGTTAAATGAAATTATGCAACATTGAAATAAATTTTAGACAGACAATAAGATTATCAAATATTTTATGCAAATATAAAAGGGAAGCCATAAATCTTCTGCTTCCGTACCAATAACCATTAACTGATTTTAGATTTATTTGAAAATATTAAATAATATCTTGTGAAGTGAAAAATATAATACGATTTGAAAAAATATGTTTTATTCAAACAAAAATATAATTGAATCACTTATTTTAGAAACCCGATAAATTCCATAAATGTAGTTTTAAGAAAACTAAAAAAAGCTCCCCAGCTATTTTCAGTTCCATTTTTTTTAAGTTTAGCTATAAGATACTCGTATATATTGAGATGAAGTAATTAAACATATTTTCATGAAACCGTGAAAAAATTTAATGGTTAAGGTGACAAAAAGCTGAAATAAAAAAATGAACATATTGGCTTTCTCAAAAAAGAAAAAAAAATTCAATAAATTACAAACTTGTAATAGGCATAATGAAAAATCAATATTACAGTACTTCTGGCTCCAATTTACCATCTACAGTTGGCTATAAGAAAAATTCTTCGTAAAAACTTTTTATTTCTTCATCATTAGGTAAATAGCTCTCAAATTTTCTGATGTTTTATCCTTAATAGGTATTTTAACATTAGGGTAGCTAAGTTCTTGACAAAGAACATCAAGTCTGGGATGTCTGCTGCCAACTGGAAACAATATATATATATATATATATATATATATATA